CAAAGGCCCACTGGAACTGCTGTAGAGTGGGTCCAAATGCCTGGAATGAAGGTATATCCTGACCTCCCCCTAATAATTAGCTGACCCTTATTCCCATATGTAATGGGGTAAGGGGAGGTAAGATAGTAGGCTGTCCCAACGCCAGGTTGAGAGCAGCTTCCAAAGGAAACCTCCGAATTATGAAATGCCCTCCGTAGGACTCGATCCCACAACCCCCCACAACCCCAAGGTTAAGAGCCTTGTGCTCCCCCCTAATATTTTAAAAAATCCGTAACCTTTTCAAGGAGTTATTTTATTCTTTTAACGGTTTGCCGTGCCTTTCCTAAATTGTAACTTTCTGGGTAAATTTTGAAGTATAATGCAATTGCTTCATTAAGCAGCATTTGATTTTTAATCTATTCTATGTATCTTCTTTTTTACTTGAACAGCCTGGTCCGGATTCCATAGGAATCGTTGCTATTTCTCATGGTTGCCCTGGAGTGGCAGCACGTGCTTGCGGCCTTGTGGGTCTTGAACCTACAAGGGTAAGTCTAATACTCTTGGTAGCCTGTTAAAATGTTCTCTTCACATTGATGTTGAACTTTAAAACAATTATGCTCCTTCCAGGTTGCAGAACTCCTCAAGGATAGGCTTTCGTGGTTCCGCGATTGCCGAGCTGTGGATGTCCTGAATGTGCTGCCTACTGCCAATGGTGGGACCATTGAGTTGCTGTACATGCAGGTCAGGATCACTACTCTGTTGTGTTTGCAAGACTTTGTTGGTTCTTTGTTATTTAATTATTACTTCACATTTTCTGTATATAGCTCTATGCGCCAACGACTTTGGCGCCTGCTCGCGACTTCTGGTTGTTGCGTTATACTTCTGTTCTAGAAGATGGAAGCCTTGTGGTATGTGAATAAGTTGGTTTATTTTGGATATAATAGAATGAATGGCACAGACACATCTACTTTTTTATCTCATAAATAAAAACGTTTTTCTTAAATGCCTTTTGCATTGCTTAGGTATGTGAGAGATCTCTGAAAAATACTCAAAATGGCCCAAGCATGCCTCCAGTGCAGCATTTTGTGAGAGCAGAAATGTTTGCTAGTGGATACCTTATTCGACCTTGTGAAGGGGGTGGTTCAATCATACACATTGTGGATCATATGGATTTGGAGGTATGTTTTTTCTATTTTTATGTAAATTGTCTTCAATGTTTTAAACTATATGTATTTTCTAAACTTAATTGGAATCTTTCTCATCAACCAGCCTTGGAGTGTGCCAGAAGTGTTGCGCCCTCTTTATGAATCATCAACAGTGCTAGCTCAGAAAGCGACGATGGCGGTAAGATTGTTTTTACAGTTGTCATTTATGTATTTTTCCCCTTCTCCTTTTGGTGTCATGAAAATCTGTAACTGTATGGAGAAAGGATTGTATATTCATGATTACCATAGCTGTGGCTTTAGAAAAGTGGTGGAGATATATATTTTTTTTCTAATTTTCCTTTAGGCGCTACGGCAACTGAGGCAGATAGCTCAGGAGGTTTCTCAACCTAATGTGACTGGCTGGGGTCGACGACCAGCAGCCTTACGGGCACTTAGCCAGAGGTTGAGTAGGTTAGTTTTGAAGTTCTTGTCATAAAGCATTTTCTGCTTGTTAAAATTTATATGGCATTTAAATGATTCATAACAGGGGTTTTAATGATGCTGTCAATGGTTTCACTGATGAGGGGTGGTCAATGATGGGAAATGATGGCATGGATGATGTTACTATACTTGTGAACTCATCTCCTGACAAGCTAATGGGCCTCAATCTTTCATTTGCTAATGGGTTTCCATCTGTCAGCAATTCAGTCTTATGTGCTAAAGCCTCAATGCTTTTACAGGTGAGGATGCTTTGCATGTTTCTGATGAACTACTTTGTGATGCTTACTTTGGAGGGTTTTTTCTTTCCCCACCTCCCATCTCTTTCAAAACTGAAAGTCATCCTATTATATGAATATTTCTAGAATCTGCATAGTTGCAATTATCATATTGACATGTCTTTATTTTGTCGATATATATACTTTTTCTCTTTGGTCTCTCTTTCAGAATGTTCCTCCAGCAATCCTCCTCCGTTTCCTACGGGAACACAGATCAGAATGGGCTGACTGCAGCATCGATGCCTACTCAGCTGCAGTTGTTAAAGTTGGTCCCTCTAGCCTACGAGGATCTCGAGTAGGAGGTTTTGGCAGTCAAGTTATACTTCCCCTGGCACATACTATTGAACATGAAGAGGTAAGAATATTGAATTTATCACTTAAAATGTCATTAGTTTCAAATTTTGAACTTTCTGCTATGATGATTTTGCCATTTTGGTTTTACTTATGTTTGGTAATGTTATGTGACCTTTTTTATACTATTATTAGTCTTTAGAGGTGATTAAGTTGGAGGGAATTGCGCAATCACCTGAAGATGCACTAATGGCAAGAGATGTTTTGCTCCTGCAAGTGAGTATTGTTGTTTTCACTCTATTGTTATGTGACCTTGTTCTCTTTGTTATTTTCAAGTCCTACGTTTGCATAATTCACTTTACGGTGCTATTGTTTTATAGCTATGCAGTGGAATGGATGAAAATGCTGTGGGCACCTGTGCTGAGCTTATATTTGCTCCCATAGATGCTTCTTTTGCTGATGATGCCCCTCTTTTACCTTCTGGTTTCCGTATCATTCCTCTCGATTCTGGGAAGGTTAGCCTCTTTCTATTATGTTAAGCCAGTGCTTTTCTTACTTTTCTTAATCTTTTGTGAAGTTTCTTAATAAGCTCCGGAAAGTGATGCAGGAAGCCTCTAGTCCAAATCGCACTCTTGACCTAGCTTCTGCTCTTGAGATTGGGCCAGCTGGAAATAAAGCATCTAGTGATTATTCTGCTAGTGCTGGCTGTATGAGATCTGTGATGACAATAGCATTTGAGTTTGCTTTTGAGAGCCACCTTCAAGAACATGTAGCATCTATGGCCCGACAATATGTCCGTAGCATTATATCATCAGTTCAGAGGGTGGCATTGGCACTCTCACCTTCATATTTAAGTTCACAAGCTGGTCTCCGAACCCCACTAGGTACTCCTGAAGCACAGACTTTTGCACGTTGGATCTGCCAGAGTTATAGGTACGTCACCATGCCTCGTCTTTCTGTGATGTATTTTATTCCTCGAAATATTATTTTGATATGGAGTTGGGAAACTGGATTCAACCTCAACAGGCTATTTGCCTGAACTATGGAAGGGTAGCAGAAGACACATGATCGTTCATGTAGTGTCAAATGGGGGATACTTATCATTTGGTCTTTATTGCTTTTACCCATTGCGATGAGAGATTTGAAAATCTGACGTGTTGAATTTGTTGTCTACTGTTGCATTGATATCTTGTACCATGCATTCATAAAACGTTGCATTAGCTCGGCATTTGTGATAGTAACAATCGTGGCAATATTTTGAACAAGGTATGATTTGTTAATAATTTTGCAGGGTCTACATGGGCGTTGAGTTGCTCAAATCCAACACTGAAGAGGGTGAATCTGTTCTCAAGACCTTGTGGCATCACTCGGAAGCTATCATGTGCTGCTCTCTTAAGGTATGTGCGAAGTACATTTCATACCTGTGTTGTTTTCCACCTTTTCCACCTTCCGCTGATTAAGGAGCTTTCCTAAAAGATCCATTAATCAAGAAGGGGGTTTTTAATGAGGCCTGAAATTCTTATAAAAAAAAAATACCTGTGTTGTTTTCTGTACGACTATGTTTTTTTTCTTTATCTAAAACTAATAGATGTTTCTGCAGGCATTGCCCATTTTTACATTCGCAAATCAGGCTGGTCTAGACATGCTGGAGACAACCCTGGTTGCTCTGCAGGACTTAACTTTGGAGAAGATATTTGATGAACATGGACGAAAGACTCTCTGCACGCAGTTCCCACAGATAATGCAACAGGTCTAGCATTTCATTCTGTTTTCGAGACTGACCAATCATCCTTAAATACAAAAACCCAATGAATGGATAACTAGATTTTACTGAATTGTTTTATTTTGTGGTGTTAGGGATTTGCTTGTCTGCAAGGTGGGATTTGTTTGTCAAGCATGGGAAGACCGGTTTCATACGAGAGAGCAGTAGCTTGGAAAGTGTTGAATGAAGAAGAGAATGCTCATTGCATCTGCTTTATGTTTATCAACTGGTCCTTTGTCTAAGCTTTTGCACCCGCGTGGTGAGACAAAATCATCGGACAATGTTTTGTTGGTTTGATTATGTGTAGTGGCAAAAAAACCCTTCTGTTAAATCTCCAGGTCTGTTATTCCTCCGTACTTTTAATGTAACGAGTATTTTATGCTCGAATCAGTTGGTTTACTATGGGTGTGAAACTATATTTGTACTATTCAGGATTTTAGAAAGTTCAGTTAGGCTCGATCTGGTTGGTTTGGTCTCTCGACCGTGGACCAGACACTACATTCAACGTGTTCTAGTTTTTTCCTTACTGGTGACAGCGAAGTCCATTGAAAGGACCGTGGATCACCAATGTTTGGTCTTCGAGGGCCGCGTCTCAACTGTTAAGTATTGTTGGATGGTTGAAGCAATTGAAAATGTTAGCCAATCAATTTACTAAATGGAAAATTGGTTGTGAAGCCACTTTATCAGTCTGATGTAGCAAACAACCATTCAAACTTTGATATGATTCGCCGACGGTTGGTTTTCGGATAAAGTCGGTCGAATTTGAAGCAAAAAATTACGGATGAAAATCAGCCTTTTATTTGTTACTCATGTTCGTTCTTTCTTTCTTTCCTTCCTTTTTTAAAAAAAGAACAACGGTATCTTCTATGTTTATTTCAAGATTCATATTTGTAATGTGTCGCCCGTATTCTACAATACAAGGAAAAATGGTACTTAATGGTTCATTTATTGATATATATGAATTTAGTACATGGGAATGGGATACAAACTTAAAATCAAGTACTAGTTGGAAAAGCTTGAGCATAGATCAGTAAAGTGAAGGAGCTGAGGATGCTGACCCTTTCACAAATACTGTTTAACATCAGAACCTAGCTGTTTTTACTCGAAAGAAGTTACTATGCAACACAAGCAGAATCTACGTGGGATGCAAAAGAAGCATCCCTAGAAAAACCCAACTATATACCCGCTTAGCCAGAAGGTGGTTTAAGCTTTTGGTTACATGTAGGTCAATGACCTATATTAGCAAATTAATAAAAATAATTGGACCAAACCCAAAAAAAAACTACCAAGATAATAAAAGGTTTGGCGCACAGAAAGGGAGGAAAAGAATAGGTTACTAAAAATATTCTGACATTATGATGGGCTTGGGCTAGTAATTTCCCATCTCATCAGTTCGGAACATTTAGATTGTTGATGTCCCTTGTAATTGCTGGAATGCAACTGGTGCTTCTGGCAACCCCACCATTCTTCTGAGCACCTGATCTGTCCCTAGGGCTAATAGATTTTGCCCTAAGACTTTTCGCATCTCTTGAACTCTTCCTTAGAATCTCCCTCATGGCTTCAGCTGTCAACAGAGCTGGATAAGCCCTCCCGATCTTGTTAAACCTAGCACATGTGTTCATATAAGCACTCAAGCCTTGCTCTATCTTCCCTCCATTTTTCTCCATCTCTTCTTTCACCGCCTCCGCACACAGTCCGCATATCCATTTTCCCAAGAACTTGTTGTGGATTCGCTCGATGTATTCCGGGGTGTACTCTTCGCTCATCCCGCAACACTCGCACTTTGCATCTTCCACTTCGGATATAGGCGGCAGCTGCTTCTCACTCGTTGTGGCTGTTTCTTTGTAGTTATCGAGCACTTCCTTGCTCACTAGGAAAGTGATATTGGATACGGTCCTGTTTAGGCTGTCCTTGGAGAGCTTCGGTGGCAATGGGAAGTTGTTTCTCTTGGTGGAAGTGCTAGTAGTAATAGCATCTCCATGCGGTGCCATTTTAACGGGAACTTCGCATGAAACAAAGGATTGAAGCTGTAATGGAACTAAAGAAGATACTTTTTCAAACTCAAATGATCGGTTGATAGAGAGTTAAACGCATGAAACTAGGTTATTTATATAATGTGGAAACCTAACCCTTTCTTTTTGCACCTCACAAGTGACATTTATGTGTGGATTCACATGTCGACTATCGGCTTAGAAACATGTTAGGTTTTTCAAGAAATGGCAACTTGCCTTCAACTTTTAGGGAATAAATGCTAACTGGTTTTTCTTAATCTTGAGAGAGGAGCCATCATTGTCATGTCATGGAAAAGTTTCTAAGATATTTTTTTTCAGTGTTCGTCTTCACCACTACTGTTTCATCTGGGGCGGTTGAGTCGGGATCATCTTCGGGAGATGTAATTAATATGAAGGTTTTATGTCCTTTTTAGCTTTTTCAAGAAGAAAAGAAACCCCTACTTACTTGGATGTAGGTGGGGCATACAAACCTAAAAAATTAAGTTGTATTTCCATTTTTAATTTTGTTTGAAACATGTACATTCCAAAATTATATACATACAAATCAAAATTTACATGTATACAAAAACATAATTTGGTTTATTAAAAAATTGATCTTGGTTAAGCTTTAAAAAAAATTAAATTGAAATAACTTGTTTATATAAAGCATGAGAAAAAGATAACTTTACCCATATTTGCATCTTATAGCCCAACGACCTTTACTTTTGGAGGACAACCCCAGAGCTTCACGAGAGAAGCAAGCTAAAAGGGTAAAAAATCAAAACGTCACGAACATAAAAAGCTAAAAATTTAGATATGATTATAATCCGAGAAATAATCAAATACGAATATACTTGTTTCTATTTGATAGCCACACAGGAATCAAAAACGGTAAGAGATAAAGAAAGGTAGTTGAAGTTGGCTTTTGTTTTCGTTAAGAAAAATTAAAGTAATTCACATTTATCTTGTAAAAGGGTTTGTGGAAAGAAAATGAAATTTATTATACCTTTAGATTTCTGGGTTTCAAAGGAGTTTCGGTATAATAATATTTGAAGGTCGAAAACTTTGCAAATGAGCAGCAACATGTGAATTATGACAATGAGATGCTATGAAATTGATTGTAATGAAAGAGACTCAATTTTATTAGGTTTGCCATCGGCCGTCCTAATTTTGTTATATTTGTGGAATGCAAACTCCACCATTTTTGTCGAGCATCTTGTTTCTTATTTTCCACTATGCCATTTCCCCATTTTGTCGGTCCCTCATCATGCAAGTATTTACTCGTAAGTGATTTAAATTTAAAAATCGAGAAAATTTGAACTATAACAATATTTGATTTATTTATAGTAATTAAATTTATTCAAAATATTAAATATCTCAAATTATAATAAAGATTTACAATCACAATCGTAAAGTAAGCACATAATTAGGAAAATTTCCTATAATCATTGAACAAAAACTAGCAACTTACGATCACATAAGGATCATACAATGAAAGATCGAATCTAATCAAGAAACTCGAACAAAGATAGATACAAACAGATCTGACCGCATTGACAAGTGAACCATAAAAGGGGATCAAGCTATTGAAAGACCACATAAAAACCGCAAATCAGACTCTAGCGACGTGAAAAGCTATCAACGAATGCAAATCGGGTATCCAAATCTAATCCGAGGGTCTAAAGAAGGAAATATCAACAAGGTATTAGATAAGAGTCATCTTGATTAGTCGTGGCGATCAAATCAACCCTTAGAAAAAAATATGAAAAAATGGCCAAAGAACCGAAAAACATTCCAAAAAACATAAGAAAACATGCCATAAAGGAAAGTGAAAACGTGCAACACAGATAAATTTATTGAAAAAAAATTAAAGATATGATATATAAAGAAAATGATAATAAAAAATATTGGCGGTCGGCAATCGATATTAAAGTTGGTGTTACCGTCGATCAACAAAGACGAAAAAGAAAAGAGATGAACGACACACTAATGAGAGAAAACTATATTTGATTTAAAACTTGAATGAGACCAAATTTGTAAATAAAAATGAATGATAATTATTTTAAAAAATATATTTATAAATATTATATTCAAAGTTTATTGTTAAAAAATTACTCTTTAGTATTTATTTTAAACTATAAAATGAAATAAATTTAAAAAGTTGTAAATAAAAATTCTAATTTAATTTTTTATTTGGGATTGAGTTAATTTACAAACTTAATTATCTAATGTCTATGGATAAGGCTGAAGGTAATATTATATTTGGGATTTGGATTTGAATGATATTTATTTTGGTCTGGACTTTGGATAGTATATATTTGGATTTGGGTTAGGTTATAAGCATCTTGGAATTTGGATATGTATAAACTTTATAAGATAACATATTTTCAATAATGTTATTTTTTTGAATTAATCACTGGTATCCGATCTATTAACCGACTAATCCAGATCGAGTACTGCAGAGGTGAGGGCGACCCTCCCAACCCAGTTTGCTCCATTCGCAAACGTCAGGATTCAAATCCCTGACCTTGCTTAAGGGACCTAATGCTTCATCCCACTAGACCAATTGGTTGTTGGTAATAATTGAAGACACTCGATTTCGACCACATAAATTATAAATTATAATATGATATTATAATACACATGGCATTTACATTTATGTGTTATTGTTTATAATATATACATGTATTACTTGATATACATATCATATTGTTGCAATATACCACATTTATTCATTTGTGTTTACATAATACAGGTCCAATGAACTACAACCAAACGCTTTGATCCAACAGTGGCCTAGCATAGTAGCATGCGTAGAGGATTAGGGTTTTACCCTATCTTATGCTTCCAGCCGCCGCTCAATGACCGTTGGATCTAGGGTTTCATCTTGTTCCAGACCTAGCCCGTTCCAGTGCCGTTTTTTGACACCGCATGTCCCAGTCAAACTCCTCACGCCTCTGGCCACGCACACAACAACACCGAATTTCTCGACCATCACCAACGACGTGCATATGTGAAACACAACAACCAACAGAATGAGAGTCACAATCTGCTTAGGACTCAAGAATTTCGGAACTAAAGATAACATTTTTTAGAGTATAAATAAGCATGTAATCTATTCATTTCGGGGGGAGGAATACTAGGCACAAATATACGAAAATCACACGAGATTACCAGAGAGCTTTTACGCACAAAATACCCAAAATACGAGGCAAATCGGGGTTGTTGTAAAGGATTCAAAAAGAAATAAAAATGTAGTTTTTTTTGCTCACCTTGTTGTTCGCTTTCTCTTTTGCATGTATTTCTTTTGAGATTTGGCTTGGAAAAACCCCAAAATACGCTAAAAAGCCGATGAACAGAGGTGGGGTCTCGAAGTTTTCAAACCCAGATCTACACCTCGAGGCTTGTTTTTTTTGAAGAAAATACTTTGGTTTTGGAAACGAGGGAGTCAAGGGCTTTTTAAAAACTATGTCTTTTTCGTGTTTCGCCGCCGATGAACGACGGCCGTCGCCGATCATCGGTGGCGGTGAGGCGGCGCAAGGTGGCCGGGATCTTGATTTTTGGGCATGTTCTTCAGAAATGAAGAACATGCAAGAGCTTTTTTGAATGGGGGGGGGGGGCTCGCGCAAGAAAGGAAAGAAATGAAGCATCTTAAAAAAATTATGTTTTATACAACATATCATGCGTGTTTTTAAAACACAAATGGAGCAATTCCATATTTGGTCCCTCGTAGCTTTGATGCTTTTATTTTAGTCCTAAATCTGATTTTTAAACCCCAATTCTCTTTTAATTTGGCCACTCAATTTTCTTTTCTTTTAATTTAACCCCTCTTTTGTTCCAAGATCTGAATTTAATTTTGAATTGACCCTTGAATTTATTCTTTCTTTCGATTTAGTCCTTTTTTAAATACTTATTATTACTATTATTTTATATACCTTGTTTATAAGTCATGATCTATGCATATTTATAACTAATATCATTATTATTATTTTTCCTTTACTATTTACGTATGTAATATATATATTTTTTGTTTCCTTTTTATTATTATTAACGTATATATATATATATATATATATATTCTTTGTTTCTTTTAATTATTAAATATTATATTATAGGGGCCCATTTTTTTGTTTGGTTTCAACTAAAGCTCCCCCAAATTTTCGATGAAGTGATGGGGGTAGGTTTCTTTCTTTTTTTAAATATGTATATAGTTTATACGTTTTATTAGTGTTTTGATGTATATATTTTCGTTTTCAAATAGTACTATATATACATATTATTTCTTTACTTTTTCTTATCTTATCTTATCTTATCTATTTATTTATTTAATTAGTTAATTATTTTTATTCTCTTTATTTTTCTATTTCCTTTATCTTTGATTTATTTACTCATATTTATTTATTTATTTATTTATTCATGTATATATTGTCTTTGCTCTTTTTTATCTCGTTTTATTCTTTTTACCCTTTATTTTATTTTCTTTATATTATTTGTTTTCTTTACTCTAACACATTCACTTTTAAAGGGCACGATTTTCAAATCCATCAAGGGTAAGTAATTTGGATCGTTATTTTACCTTTTAATTTAAATTTATGAATTTCTTAATTAAAGACAACTGTAAATTATATAGTACCAAAAGGGCAGCTCAAGGGTGCTAGCCCTTCCTTGACTGTAACCGACTCCCGAATCCGATACATCACTGGTGAAATACAGATCAGATAAGAAATAAGGTATCCGATCAACCAATTTACTTTTAAATAAATGATCGGTGGCGACTCCAATTCCATTTTCCTAAGTCGAAGCCCAATTCCGGGCCCAACCGAAAGACGGTTACGACATCTTGGCGACTTCGCTAGGGACAAGTAAGTGAGTCAGGCTAAGGTAATTTCCAGTTGTCTTTTTAATGAAAAGGGTAAGTTTAAATTTTTAGGTAATATTTTGATCCTTTTTACTTACTTTTGATTATGTTTTCGGGTAAATAGTTGTACTAATCGTTTTCTCATGATTTCAGCCTTTAAAGTTTTTCTTAAGGCTCTAAACTCGAGCTCCAAACCTTGTTTTAAGTGGG